GCAAATAGTGTTTTATTTTTTAGCATTCTTTTCTTATTGACATATAGTTGATTTACAATATTGTGTTAGTTTCTGGTGTACAGCATAGTAAATCAGTTATATATACGTGTATATATATATATATATATATATATATATATATATACACTTTTTTCGATACAGGTTAATATAACCTGTTGAACATAGTTCCCTGTGCTATGCAGTAGGACCTTCTTGAATTTTAGTTTCCACGTGTTTGTTGCTAACATATAGAAATTTAATTGTCTTCTGTATGATATATTCTGTGGCCTTGCTGAGCTCGTTAGTTCTAGGTGGCGTTTTTGTTTGCTTGTTTGTGTGTTTGGTAGATTCCCTGGGGTCTTCTATGCAAACCACAATCGTATCAAGTAGGAAATTGTTCTTTCTTTTACTATTCCAACCTATAGGCCTTATATTCCCTTTTCTTGCCTTGTTGCTCTGACTGGACCGTCTGGTAATGCGTGGTGGAATAGCAGTGGTGAGGCTGCACATACTTGCCTGGTTCCTGATTTTAGGAGAAAAACATTCAGCCTTTCATCATTAAGTATGACGTTAGCTCTAGGGTTCTATAAATATTCTTTATCAAGTTGAGGACATTGCCCTATATTCCTAGTTTTCTGCAATTTAATTATAAAGGAATGTTGAATTTTGTCAAAAGCGTTCCTCTACATCAATTGACGTGATATGTGATTGTACTTAGTGGAAAGAATAGGGAAAAATATGTCTTCTTGGTTTGTTTGGAAGTGAAAATCCATAGCCTGATTTTTTTTTAATAAATCAAAATACATTAATTTTAAGAACTTATGTAGAATTATTTGGAATTCCATCCTTTAATAATTAGGTCTAATATCATTGTGCTGGGCCAGTAGACAATTGTCAGTTATGCTTAATGTTATTTTAAGTCTAAAAAAATGTGTATAACATAATCACAACACATTTATAATCATGTAGTATTTTTGCCATTGGTAGGACCCATTCAATCTAAGGACTAACCAAGATAACAACTGGACACCAGTGTTTCCCTCAAATGAAATATTTAAAAAAAAAGAAATACTTTGTGTGAATATTGAAAAGTAACATACGGTGTTTATCTTCACCTCAAATATTTTAAAACTGAGAAATCATTGTTAGCTTGAGGGCCATATACGAATAGGAAGTAGGTCAAATTTGGTTCACTGGTCGTTATTTGCCCACCCCTCAAAGGTCATCATGACTGTCTTTAAGTGTACCTGTGAGCTACTTTAAAGAAGGGACCTTTTTTTTTAAATGTATGTTTCTCTGGTTCCTAAGACAGTATCTGACCTTTTAGCAGTGTTTAATAAGTAAGTACTGCTAAGAATAACGTAGCTGTAATGAAATTTGAGCTGCCATTCAAAAGACACTTCTCAGTTCGAGTTCAACAAAGTATTCAGTCTCCTCAGAGGAACACACAGAATACAAAGCCTTTACCCCATTTCATTTAAATTGTTCAGAACGCAATCTAAATTTATTCAACATATGAAGAAACAGGAAAATTTGAACTGTTGTTAACAGATAAGATAATCAACAAGAGATCTACCTCAAGATAATCCAGAGATTGAAATTTCAAGTGAGGATTTTAAAGCAGGTGTTATGTGACTGTGTTCAACAGGTAAAATAAAATATGCTTGAAATGTATGAAAAGATATGAAATGTCACCAGAGAAAAAAGAAATTGAAAATATTATAATTGAAAAGTATTCTGAATGAGAAGTTTCACAGTCTTGAGTTTAAAATAAGAATGGAGTTGATAGAGAAGGGTTAGCAAACTTGATGATAGATCGCAGAAGGATAATAGAAGATCACAGAAGGAATCAGTGAAATAAACAATAGAAATAATTAACAAATCCAAATTTTAGTTACTAGGAAAGATCAACAAATTGATAAACTTCTTTCGATTTGTCAAGAATAATAGATGGAACTTAAATTACAGTATTAGAAATTATAAAAGGGTTATCATCAAAGGTACTATGACATTAAAAGAATAATAAGAGATTATGAAATTTTTTATACCCAAACATTGACAACTTTCATGAAATATACATTTTCCTTGTAAATGACAGTTTAAAACTGACACAAAATGAAACAGAAAATCTGAACAACCCTCTCTTAATAAAATTGAATTTGTAGTCGTAAAACCTCTTCCCCACACAAACACACAAAAAAATCCTCAAGGCGCAGATTGTTTCATTCATGAATTCTATCAAACTTTCTAAAAATAACAAACATCAATCAGTGTAAATTACCATATGGACATGTCAACAGATGCAAACAAAACACTTTCAGCAAACTTCTCAGACAAGTATCTTAATCTAATAAAGTACCCCAATGACAAAGCCACTGGCAATATTATATTAATCATTCAATATTAACACTTTCCCCTTAAGATGAGGCATAAAGTGAGGGTGCCAACACGTACTATTTCTGCTCAGATTGTACTGGAGCTCCTAGCCATCGCAATAAAGTATAGGAATAAAAGGAATAATGACTAGAAAGAAAGAAAGAAAGCAGCCAACGTTTGCAGATGAAAATCTCTAAGAAACCTGTGCAACCATCAGTAAATTCATAGTTAAGGATTGAAAAGTAGATAAACAGGATAAAACAGACAGCACAGAAATAGTCATTTGATTTTGGGCAAAAATGCAAAAGCAACCCAATCCAAAGAAAGACAGTTCAACAAAAGACACTGGAATGACTGGCTGTGAATACGGAAAACCAAGAACTTTGACCCGCCTGTAAATTAAACACACACACACACACACACACACACAAATTCAAGATAATAATAGACTGAAACTAAAAGCTAAAACCATGAAAACTTTAGAAGAAAACAGGTCACAGAAAGCAATTACCATAAAGGAAGAACTGACAAATTAAAATGTCTTCAAAATTATAAAATTTCACTCTTTAAAAGGCACAGTTAAGAAAATGAATGGAAAAGTCACAGGATGAATGTTCACAGATTTAGGAGGCTCTGTGATAGGCACTGAATTCATTTCCTTCATGGAGCCGAGGGAACGAGGGTGACGCTACCTGTTGGAAGTATCAACTTCAGATCAAAATGCTTTGCATGTCTGCAGTTCTGTAACAGACCACTCCAGGGTGATGAGCAGAATGAAAGATGGCCTTGAAGCCTGGGCAGCACGGGGAAATTTTGAAAGCAGGCAGATCCAAGCAAGTATATTAGCATCATAATGTGTGTTATGACCCTGGACAAGTTATTATTTCAGTGAATCTATGATTCTTCTGCAGTAAAATGGAAATAAAATAATATCTGCTTCATATGGCTATTGTAGGGATTAAGAGCTAACTTTGAGGAAAGGCACATAAGAATTACTCAATAAACATTCGCTTCCTTCCACCCGAGAATGTTAGAATGTGCAGATACTGAATAAATTATCAACATAGTTTGTTACTAGGTTTATTATAGTTCTGCATATTTGTCCAGTGGGATACTCAGAGTGGAAGGAGGGTTTCTTGTTTGTTTGTTTTGTCTTTTTGTTTGTCTTTAGCGAATAGGCCAGAGCCTCAATTCATCAACAGAGTTATCCTTCTGTCTTACTTAACGTCTGACAGTCCTTCACGATTTTAACGTTTAGGGCTGGGAGGCAAAGCGTTGTGTGTAGGAATGGCTCAAAGAACAGCGGAAATTCAGCAACAGCAGAAACAAAGGTCATGAAGGGAGTCAATGAAGAAAATGAAAGGCATTCTAATTATTTATCTTACACAAAATAACTTGATGAATTAAACTCTTCCCAGTCCTTAGCTTACTCTCCAACAGAACGTGGTATGGTATCTGTTTTCAATAACTTAGAAGTCACTTTAAAACCTATGGTTTTTCAAATTTCTTTTGTTTCACTGACTCACAAAGAAGTAAGGCTTGAACTCTCAGAGTGAAAACAAGAAGTTCAAAGAGCTCCAGGTATCCCAAATAAGGAGTCGTTTAGGACCTGGAGAACAGTGTCTGCAATTGTTGTCAAGCTGTTGAAATGAGATGGGCTTATATCAGAGGAGTAAGAATTCGGATTATGCACAGATAAGAAGGACTCGAAGAATTCACTTCACCAGAAGTTTTTTTATGGGATCCTGTAGACTCATACATCTGCAAGGTGTTGAATCATAATAGAACTTACCTTGATTTTAGAAGGTGAAGAATTAGAGTTTTTCTGTTTAGTCTGATTTCATACAACAATTCTTCTTCGTAAGTTTCCTGAAAAACAGCATCCATCATGTGATGTGAGCATGTGCTCCTTTACTGTGCGTTGCTAGCGTGGTGGGTGGAGGGGAAAAATCCCAGACTTTTCACAGTCTACCCAGCAGCCCAGACGTCCTTCCAAGGCAAAATAGTAAATACTGATAAAGCTGAATTTATCTGGAGGATTTTGCTTTCAAGTTATTTTTAATTAAAAATTTTAGTGGCTTTTTTTCCTAGTTATAAAATAAAATGGGAAAAAATGTACATTTCCCCCATATCCAGAAATATACAAGTTATTCTATGGCCCTGAAGTTCCACCCCCCACCCCCATGGATTTTTCTGTTCGTGTATTTTTACCAGCTTTGTGTGTGCTGTTTTATAGTATACAATTTCACATAAAAAAAAATGACCATGAGCACTTCTCATTCCAATAAATGTTCTTTTACGGTATGTATTTTATGATGCAAAGGCACAGTGTGAACTTATTTAATCAACATCTATATTAGAAATTTCATTTGGAGCATTCTCTATGGTTAGAATTGCATTGTCCACAGCATAGAAAAACTGCAAAGCTTTTGGTAAGTATTGCCAGATAATGCTGAAGAAAAGAAGTAGAAACTTAGAATTTTACCCAAAATTTATAGTGGTTCTTGTTTCTTTGCCTTAGACATTGCCACTAATAACAGTCTCTCAAATAAGGAAATGATAACCTATTGGGATAAATTGTCTTCTTTGATGATCATTGGAATTAATCTTTTCTTTTTGTTTATTTAGTTATTTTCACATTTGCATAGGAATTACTGATTTATGTCCTGTCACCATTTTCTTTCGTGGTATTTTATTGCTTTATGATTCCTAACAATTCTTTATAATTTAAGGATTCATAGTTATTAGTCATCTATCTTGGACATTTCTTTAGTTTGTTGTTTATTCATTTACTCAACAGCTGCTATTTCAAAGACAGTGATTATATACAAAGTACAATGGTGCACAGGATAGAGGTGCTCGTGTGGAAGACACAGATGAGCAAAGAAGAAAATCAAGCAAATGTAACTGAGTATTACAAGCATCATAGTATGAGAAATGCAGTGACCATGTCAGGGACATTGAAAGGATAAGTCAAGGGCAAGAAATAGCACATGCAAAGGTCCTGAGGTAGGAAGAAGCTTGGCACGTTTGAGGAACAAAGAGAAGCTCAATGTTGCCAGAAAATCAAGCATAAGTTGAAGAGAAGAGAGAAATGAAAAGTTAGGAAGAAGCCAAATCATACGTAGTCTACTAAGTCACTTAAGAGGATTAGAACTTTATCTTCAGTGTAAAAAGAAGCAAAAGGTCTAGGGAGAAAAGTGCAGAAGTACGTATGATATTTTAGATGGCTTACTTATTATGGATAATGGAGCAGGAGAACTCATGGCTGTAGGCAGAGGGAGTAGTAAAAAGTAGATAATTTCAAAGGATATTTACATGCTAGAATCTACAAGGCTTAGTGATTGATAAGGGAGGCAAAAGAGAAGAGTCTACATTCACCTCAGGTTTCTGGTTGGTTTAATTGTGTCACTAACTGGAAGGGGTGTCTTTTGAAGAGGGGCAGCTTGGACGGAGAGTCGAGGGCAAGTTTGTATTTGTTGAATGCGAGGAATCCATTAGTTTGGGCTTTTTCGATTTCAAGTTTAATGTAAAATTAGGACTTTATTATAAAGACACAGAATTCACAGGTGGGCAGGCAAAAAACTAGGTGCTCAGTCAAATGCAAAGGGATGAATCACATTTACCATTTACTGTGCACGTCGGGATGTGTGTCAGTGTGACTAACAAGATAGTTTAATGGGACTTTTTTGAAATTTGAATGTTTGAATATGGATCTTAGATTAGCTAATATTAAGAAAGTATCATTAATATTGTCCAGTGTGTTCATTATTGTTTTTAATCTTGTCAATATTGCTTTTAATAAACAGAATTTTCCATTTTAGTTTCATTTCTGAATTCTATTTATTTTTATTTAATTTTTAAATTAATTTTTATTTTAGAATCATTCTGGATTTAGAGAACAGTTGGAAAGATAAGACAGAAAATTCCCACGGGCCAAATCAGGTTTCCCTATTGTTGACCTCTTCCTTTGCTGTGGTGTATTTGTCCCAACTAACGAACCAAGGTTGACATTATCAATTAAAGTCTGCATTTATCCACATTTCCATCGTTTGGGTCAAATGTCCTTTTGCTGTTTTAGGATTCCATCCGAGACCCCACATCACATTTAGCTGCCATATCTCCTTAGGCTCCCCAAGGCTGGGGTAGCTTCTCAGCTTCTTCTTCTGTCTGATGACCTTGACTCTGAAGAGTACTGGTCAGACACTGGTCAGGCATTTTGCAGGCTCTCCCTCAACTTAGATTTTTCTGATGTTTCTCTCGTGCCTAGACTGGGGTTATGGAAACTTGCTAGAACACGACAAAGTCAAGCGCCCTTTTCATCGCATCACATCAAGAGTACATCCTGTCACCATGACTTATCTCTGATGTTACCAGGGTTACCTAACGGGGGTAGCTCTTGTCAGCTTTCTCCAACATACAGTTACACTTTTTCCTCCTTCCATACAATTGTACTCTTTGGAAGGGAGTCACTGTGCACAGACCATACTTAATGTGTGGGAAGTCATGTTCCACCCCCTGGGGAAGGGAGTGTCTACATCAAGTCTCGGATTCTTCTCTATGGGACATTTGTCTATTCTCCCCCATTTATTTACTTGTTCAATCATTTATTTATATCAATATGGGCTCATGGATGTTAATTTATACTTTGTGGTATGATCAAACCTATGGTATTGACTTGGTGACTCCGATTCTCCCTTCTTTGGCCATGGGGAGATCTCTCAGTTGGCCTCTGTTCTTTCGACACATTCCCATCAATGTGAGTTTGAGTTTATCTGTTTTGAGAACTTTCTTACTTTCTAGGACTACAGGATGCTCCAAACTCACTGTGTAAATTTCCTGCCCCAGTCCAGGCTCACCTCGTATATTCATACTGAGACTTTTCACATAATCTTAAGCCAATGACAGACGCTGGAAGAGCCCACCAGCTTTTGTACGATGGGTGGCAGAAATCTGGTTTTGAATTCTTAGCTGAGTACCAATGTCCAACCAGTAAAAGTTTTGAAAAAGTGAGAAAAAAATTGGAGATCAAGAGAAAAAAAAATTTGCAAGGAGATTAGTAGAGATAAATGGTTAGACATTATTTCTAAACAGCACCAGATGGAGAGTTGCATTTTTAAAAAATCATCTCAAGCCATGGGAAAGAGGCCTCCATGGGGCCATTTGGAAAGTTGAAAGGTGTCTTACTTATGACCGAGAAACCTAAAAAGTGAGAGCCTGGAGGGCTGGCTCCTCTAATGGTGGAGGGAAGACAAGTCATTGCGTTAGGGAGGGTCTCCTCTCTCAAAGGAGTATTGGGGTGTAGCGACAGTCAGTATTCTCCATGGGTCAGATTAAAAACCTAAGGCTCAAAATGCAAGTGGTTGATAACAACTATCTAAGAACAGTCACTGAATGTCTTTTACAACAGTAGGAATAGAAAATAACCTAATTTTGGTTTCCTCCCTATTCGGTATATTATATATTTTCTATATACATATTTATTATTTTTAGAAATAAAATTTTAAATATTTAAAAATTTTAACACCTGAGTAAACACTCTTCGGAGCAATAGATCAATCAGGTCTTTCTGTCCCTGTGAAAGTTGTCCAGCTTTGCTGTAGGATCTCGGAGGCCTGTGTATCAGTTCCCTGGGAAGGCAAAGTGCTCAGAGATGACGTTCCACGGGCACCAGCTCAGAACAAATGAGGCTGCTTTACATCAGCCTGGAAAGCTGTCAGTGGAACTCCTCACTCAAACTGGAAGATTTTTAAGTGCCCCCCTCTAAAACCTAAGTTTTATGCTTTTTTGTTTCCTAATCCATCAAGGGATCGCGTTCTCGCCCAACCTCCACCCCCACCCATCCAAGCCCATGCTGCAAACTATACAGGCGTCAGAAAAATCGAGACTCCTCCTTTGTCTGCCTCTGATTGGAGACCGAGGCTGCTTTCTGCAAGCCTGTGAAAGCAATGCCTCTTCCTTATTAAACCAAAGCCTGTACCTGTATGTCAACATCATGGGTGTGCCAAACATCTCGCTTCTGGATCAGGGGAAGCCTTTTAGGATAAACCAGTTGTTGACCCTCTACTCCAAGAATTATCTTTTCTAAAAGGAAACATAAGGGGGAAAATACATCTGGCATGAACATTCACCCACAGTAACTGGATAACAGAGTTATTCTTGTAGAGTTCACTTCGTCCCAGTTAGCAGTCATTACCACAGCATCCCCACTTGACAGGTAAGGAAATTGAGACTGATATTTCCAGATGAGGAAAATAGAAGCAAAACTGGAAAGGAAGCGACGAAGCCAGCGTCCTTCAACTTCTCTCTTTTTACCTTGTTCTGCAATTACCACCTTTGTCATCTTTTTCTTCTCACGTTTGTCTCTGGATCCTGTCGAAGCCCACACTGGAATGGTCTATTGCAATGTCAGTTACTGATTTTATCTCCAAGGGACACTTACATTTGAAGTCTTAAGTCTCATAGTTAAATAGAAGACTTTCCTCTGTTAAAGGGATTTTCGGTACTTTTGAATCAGCGCTGAGCATGATCGTCTACATATTACGAATCAAGTTGGTAGCCATCTGTAGGTAAGCCTTGCCATCCCCAGTACCGAGCGATAAAGAAGAAAGAGCATAGGTTTTGGAAGCTGCTTTTTTACTAGTTTTATTAGTAGTATGGCTGTAAATAGACTCTCCCTGATCTGTAGCCATTAGTCTCAATTTCCTCATCTGTGATGTGGAGGTGATAATACAGAACTTTAAGCATGCTAATATTCAAGGTAGCCGATGGCTAACACAGTGTCGTCCACCTTGCAGATACACAGTAAGTCCATTTCTTCCTCCTCCTCACTGTCCATCAGAGTATTTAAGAATGATACAGCATTTCATAGACTCGTAGAATCTCAAGATGAGCCATAACCTAGTCCAAGTCCTATGAGATATTCTCAGCAAAATCGTCCATGGATATTAATGTTTCTATCATTTACAATTTGTGATGAGAGGGACATTGCCTCATAAAACCCTCGTAAAAAGATTAAGACATACCTTTAATCTGAGAAATGAGCACAACCATGGAAAATAAACTCCCAAGAAACATTCTGAATGATTCTGGCCGAAGAGGGACACATGCGCTTGAGAAGAGACGTGCACAGTTCTCGGTCCTTGCTTCCACCGCGAGGATGAAGCCGCTTGCAGCCAGACAGGCAGTTTTGATGCAGCACGAGGAAGTGTTCCTTGATGGTGTTACATAACTTGCGAGATGCTTGAGGCTAAAACCTGGACGATGGACAGCATGTGCTAATTAAAGGCAACCACAGAGAAGGTGGTGGTGGAGGAGGCGGGCTGGGCAGAGATCCCTCCCTCATGCCTAATATAAATATGATTCCAGAGGTATTAAAAATCCAAAAGTGAAAAAAGATCAGGTATGTCTTGGAAAAAACATTACTGAAGGATGTTTGTATAAACTTTGGTTGAAGAAGGTCTTTCTATGCTGAATGCCACATGTACGAACTGTCAAGGAAAATTTGATTAAGAAAAACCAGATAGAAATATTGAGAAATTTTTTTTCTAGCTAAACAAAGGTCTGGGCCATGTGGGCCATGGGGAGATCCATGAGAACCCAGAGAGTCACTGGGACAAGAGGGGGGAATGAAGGAAAATAACTACCTCTTTTTTCTTCCCAGCTTTATTGAGATGTAATTGACTATAGCACTGTATAAGTTTAAGGTTATTAATGATCTGAGTATAGTAATGAAATGATAATCACAAAATGTAAACAATAAGTTTAATTCACATCTGTCATCTCATATAGATACCCCCCAAAATGTTTTATCCTGCGATAAGAACTCTCAGGACCTACTGTTTTAACAACTTTCAAATTGTTCAACTGTCCTGTTCACCACAGTCCTTGTGTTGTAAATTACAGCCCTGGTACTTACTTACTTATCTCATAACTAGAAGTCTGTACCTTTTTGACCTCTTTCATCCAAACTTATTTATGAAAACTTCTTTACGCCATAAATTGCAAATTAATTTAAATCGAAAGGCAAACAAAAAATCCAGGAATGTATGCCACATATATGATAAAAGGTGAGGGTATATATCCTTATAATATAGGACTCTTTCAAACGAATACTAGAAGGAAAACATTAATGGGCAGATCTGCACAAAGCTCTCCCTATGCCTGCGTTCTCTTGTTATATGAGAACAGCCACCTATCTGCGGTAGAATCCTTTTCTGTGTATGGGATTCTGTCCCCTCCCCAGTCTCACAGGATTGATTATCCTTCTAATATTCCCATTAACAGAACCATCTGTGGTCACTGGAAGCTTCCTTTGTTATTTAAATAACCTCAAGTCTCTCCCTTTCCGCAGGCCCCCAGCATCACCCTCTTTTTCATTCCCTTTGTAGTTCAACGTCTCACACAGTTTATCTGTATTTTTTGTGGCAACCTTCTCATCTCCCAAAACGAGGAAAACAGTGTGAAACTCAGCCGTTGCAGCGAGGATTAAACGGTAATTTAACTGAATCACTTAAAAGCAGTGCCTGCTGCGTATCAAAAGCTAGATAAGCGTTGATTTTTGAAGACCTATATAAATGTTGATCTTTGTTTTTATTACTTTTCTGAACCCACTGTATCCATTTTTCACCTTCCTTTCCTTCTCCAAGCTTCAGATTTTCTCTGATTGCCTCCCTTTACCGCAACGTGCCTCGTTGCTTTCTCCCGTCTAAGAGTCTCTGCAGACACTGGTCTCTCTGCCTCTGTCTGCTCTTTGTGGCCAGAATAATTCCTCCTCCTTCAGTTCTCAGTTCAAAGGTCACCTGCTCAAGAAAGTCTCCGCTAATGCCAGAGTTTAGAGCCAGTTTCTTCTTGGAACAAGATTCTCTTCTTTTCTGAAAACTTACTTCAGTCGATCACAAACTTATTTGCCCACTTATTTGATTGTCTGCCTCCCGCAGCACACATTAATCTCCGGAAAGCAAAGCCTTTTTCTGACTCTGGTACCACAAATCCAGCAGCGCCTTGCACGCAGACGCCATATTCAATATAAATCGGCTGAATGCAATAAAAGCTACTTTGCAACGTGATTATTACCTGGTTACATCCTCAAGTGTTTCTAAGAATTCTGACCATAATTGAAACAACTTTGATCCACATGATCACCCAGACTGGGAGAATTTCTGATAATCTTTCAGATCAATACAAGAGACAGTTGAAGACAGATGGGCGTTACTCAGTGTATTTGACGCGTCACCAAACAAACACTCATCCACATAGCAAGTGGGATTTTTCCAGCTTCACTCACCGTGACACTTAAGGAGCATATTTTGAATTAGGTGACAGGTAGGAACTATACTGAGCTCGCCTTTATCACTGTCAAAATTGTGGAAAATAGAATAAACAAATTTAAAAATGCCAGTTGTGGAATCTCGATTATTTACAGTGTCAGGTTAAATGATGAGCCTTAAAGGTGTTTGTCTGATGCCTTTAGTTATGGCTGAGCTAACGTCCAGGCATGTCTAAAATATTAGCGACACAGCATTACCCACGGTTAGTCAGCCCGCATGAAAAAGCCAAGGGCTTTCAAGGAAAGAAGAGTTTTTGTAATTTACTCAAGCTTCATAATCAGTAAGTGGGAAGTAGACATTAAAATAAAATTTCTGCCTGGCTTTGTGTTCTTTTTATGATACACTAGCGCTTTTTTGGAGGAGAAAACAAGCCTTATTTTTTTCTCATAATTGCTCTGTAATCAGTCATTCAAACTTGGAGAATTTTATACCTCAATTCTGAAATCTACGAAGTGACGAGTGTGGAAGAGAGCGATCTTATAATATCACTAGTTTATAATTTATTCTCACTCTCAGGTCACAGCTCTCTGTGTTTAAATTTACATCATCACTAAATTATATAAAGCTTAAAAAACAAACAAACAAACAAAAAACCAATGACCCGGAAAGCAGAATTCAATGTCAAAGTGGCTCTGTGAAGTGCAAATATCAGACAAAAGCAGATTTTCAAAGATTAGACAAATATGAGAACGTTCTGTTCCCTCTTTATTTCTCTGCTGCAAATTAGTGGAGCGACCTCTCCTAGAAGGTTCTCGAATCTACCCGCATCTTGGTTTCCAGGAGGGGTTTTGAGGTTGTGTCTCATCCTTATCGTCATGAGGGTCAACCTTTCAACAACAGCCAATCAGGAGTGTGTGTCTGGGAGGCCTCCCCGCTGTGTCTGGAGCATGTCTGCCATCTCCTGTTGCCTCCCTGACAATCCAGGTACCCCTCCAGGCTTGCCCTCCGGGGCCTCCTTCTCTCTGTGTCCTCCTCAATCCTGCTCCCTCTCTCCTAGCTGGCAACTTGGAGAGCCATCCCTCACCCCTTCTTAAGGACCTAGCAGTGTGAGTTCACAACAGTAGAGGCCTGGGAAGGATAAAAGATGGTCAAGAATATATTCTAAGTCAGAAACAAGAGGCTGCCCACTCCGCAGGCTCAAAATGCTTATTCATGTAACTTCTTTGCACAGAGAAACATGAAAAAAAAAAAAGCCAGTGAACTGAAGTGAGTGAAGAGAATGAAGTGAATAAAAAAATATATCTTATTCAAACTATAATAGTAACGGCAAAAGATTCACCCAGAAATCCTGGAATAAAGATTAACATTTTCTGCCTGACCTTAAAGGACGTATCATTATAAAGTACTTCAACAGCACATTAATTAAAGGGAACTTGCAATTCTTTTTGTAGAAGCTAATGTCAGCCCATTAACTGTGTTTTAAGTGCGTTGAATAGAACACTAGATTCAAAATCAGGAACTCTGTGTTTGCTTGTGACTAATTCTGCTAACTTTGGCAAATCACTTATTTTCTGGGCTCCAGTGCCTTATTTATAAATTGGGAATGTTAGGTTATTTGATCTCTAAGATCTTTTTTTAACATCAGGATGCTATGTGCCCATATTTTACTGAATATTTTTCTGCTTTTCTAAGACCTTCTCCATTATAAGTAGAAATTTTGACTTGCCAGAATAGTGACAAATTTGGGCTTTTGATCACTATTATATTTTCCACAAATTTATTAATTAAGATGTATAGTAAATGTCATGTAAATGGAACAAGAGCCATAAAAATTGACTTACTTTGCCACTCAGAGGGACAGGATTATTCCTGGAGAATGGCAAACCCAGAGTAAAAAGAATGTGTAGTCATTTCATCTCTTAATTCTGATAATCACGTTACTTAGCTCGTGACATAGAACAAATTACTTAATATTCCTTGAGCTTTGGGTTTCCCTCGTGGTGAACTAAAGATAATCATGCTTTCTTTTTTTTTAACATTTTTTATTGATTTATAATCATTTTACAATGTTGTGTTGATAATCATGCTTTCTACACAAGATCACGGTGTAGATTAAGATAATTAATAATAATGCATAACTCATATATGACCCCCAATTTGAAGGGTTGACATTATTTCTCACCTTCAATTTAACTGTTTCTTAAGAACTTTTGGAAATACGCTAACTTCAGTAAGGTCAAAATGGTTTAAACAACGTGCACTTAAAGTCAGATGGTGACAGGGTATGAAATGATATGCAATTCGATTTTCTCTGGCTGGATAAGGAAGCCCCAGGTCCTTGGTGACCCACTTCCCAAGTCCCACTCCTACATAATTATGTCACACCACCTCCTCACTCCTCAACAAGCTGTAATTTTCATTTTTAAACAAATTATAGTAACCCTCCTGATCTCTGATGTCCTTCCAGCAACCTCAGTGTTTTTCTGATCCCTTTATAACAAAATCCTCTCAAGGAGTTATTCATAATCAGTTTCCAGTCCTTCATTCTCTCTTTAAGCCACTCCAATCAGGGACAAGAGACAATCTCTTTTTGTTCCCACTGCTCTACTGAAATCACTCATCAAGGTCACCAGTGGTCTCCAGATTTTAAATTCAATGGTTAGTTCTCAGTCCTGATTTTATTTCTTGGTCCTTATTCGATTTGTCATTTGACCATCTCCTTTTTTGATACACGTTCCTTACTGGAAAGGAAACAGCCCTACTTTTTCTCTGTCGTTAGATGCTCCTTTTTTTCACTTTTATTCACTC